ATATATATATATATATTAGACCAACAACTTTCTCATATTGACGAAAGACACAAGTGAACAAATCAAATTCACTTATAATTTACAAATTCTCATGGACTACCCAGTTAATTAAATTATACACCTCGACATGTGAAATGGAGGAATCATCCACCAGCCCTTCTAATCTCTGGACAAGAAAGATCATCTTAATAGTAGAACAGATTCAAAAATAATAATTATTGAATTGATATGATATTTTTTTTTATGTACACAGACTAAGCAGCATGGTCAACAACCCTCAGCTACAGATTTACATGTCCTGATGCATTTGTGCCTGGGGACGAAACAGTGAGTCTCCAACCAATCTCATTGAGTCAATGTAAATAAAAAATTTATTTTCTGCTTTTCAAGACTATTAATATTTAAAATGACAATTAATTCTTGATTTTAATTATGTAGAAGGAGTACAATTAACACCGATAGAGGCAGAGGGACTTGGAGTAATAGAATTTGACATCCGCCAGTAGCAGTCGTAGCCAGTCAGTCTACCAATGCTTGGCTCAATTTTGAACTATGGACACAGGCAACAAGGAAGAAGAAGAGGAGAGTGTACAACCTTATTGTGAAAGCCAGAATCAAACCCAACTGAACCCAAATCATACACAAAATCAATTTGAGCTAACCAACAATTGAACCCTAGCTAGCCTTAGCTCACGACCATCCCAAGTCTAATCAAAGTTGAACTTAAGTCATGTCAAATTTATTTCATGTATAGCGACTTAAAAATTCATGTTTCATATTTCTTGTTTTCACGTATCATGTATAATTATTTTAGAAAATAAATAAAAACAAAAAAAATGGAAAAAAGAAAAAGGAGGAGCAGAACCTCTCACATGATGATTATCCCTATAAACATTTAATAAGACACAAAAAAAACATAAGGACAACCAAACGAAAAACATCAACCTAGAGTAATAAATTAAAAATGAAGGCATTTCAAACCACCTATGAACTAAGTTGCCCTTCACCTTCCATGATCATGGCACTCAAGGAGAACTTCTAATTATAAGGATGATTATGGTTGAAGCATACCAACATACCTGAGATGACAGAAGACCATGGACATCTTGATCGAGGGCAATATTCCCAAAGTCTAGGTTAGTATACCTATTTTGATTCCTTCTAGAGTCTAGGGATGTTTCAAAATTAGGGTTTCACATCCATCTAAAATCTTTTCTATCCAACTTTGTCATTCAGTTTAAGAATCCAAATAGCTTCTAATCAGTCAAACAAAATTCAGTCCTAATCCTACCCTTGATTAAATCTAATCAATCGAAATTCATCCAACTTGTTACTAA